CTCCCATTGGGCCTAAAATCTTCACAACAACAATAAACAAATGAATTAATTATGCATTTTAATCGACGTGTTATAGACCTTCTATAGTTGTGTTCACCAAACAAGTGGTTCTAATACCGTTTTCGATGTAAAAATGAAAAAAAATTGAAGGCGTTATTTTTATTTGTTGTTTGTTTATGTTTTCAGCTCAAATCATTCTGCATAAACCTGCTGATTAAAAAAAGGTAAGCAGATTTTGTATGACTGATTATAACCCACAGGTCTTTGTAAAATGTCTAAGTAGGAAGAAAAATATCATAAACACAATTAAGATGTATCTCACCAGTTAAGGGAATATCCTCTTGACTATGTTGTTTTTCTGTTGAAAAAGGGAAGTCGATTTGAACTGAAAAGGTTTAACCAAGCTGTATTTTACACAATGCACAAAATTATTTTGCAAACAAGATGTTTGTGTCACATACCCCGAATTTTTTTCCATCGTCGTTTACAATAGTGAAAGCAACAGAAAATCAATATCAAAACTGAAACAGGGGCGGCAGCGCAGATCACCCCTATGAAAGTAGTGGACAAACCTGCTGCTAAATTGGAAATAGACAGCATCATTATTAACTCAATCATTTCTGAATATATGAGGGGTGTTCCAGAAAGTAGGTTATGTGAAAAATTCTGGATACGTTTAAAAATGTGTAAGCAAAAAATATCGGCTTGTGGTTACAAAAACAGAGATACATTTCAGGAAGTGCAAGTTATGCTAATCTAAAGGCCCATGCACACGGAAACGTTTTTTTTGCTTGCACTTTCCGTCGACGTTTAACGCCTCGTGACTAAATAAAGGGCGTCAATATAATCGTGCACACCAATGCGCAAGACCCAGGTGCAAAAGTGTTATTTAAAAAAAAGAAACGCCTCATGCTCGTTTTTTTTTGTTTTGATGCGCCGCGTCAAAACTTTCTGCACCAATCAGATCGGCGCTTTTGGTCACGCGCACAGAGCTGCTGAAGTTACAGTAAACAGAACTTGGAGGTGCTCAAGCGCAAAACTGTCAATGCGAGCGCACATTGAAGACAATGCCCAGAGGCGATATGAACGTGGAGCTGCTTATTCCTCTTGAAAACGATAATCATTTCTTTATCGCCAGCTAGAGCTGGAGCTGGAGCTGGTACTTAAGCCATCCATGCTTGTTTAAGTCACCAGTAACTTTAACAACAAGCGTGTGAACTTCCTTTTCTTCTGTGTTATAAGCCGGTGTCAGAAGCTTAAAGTTGTGTAGCGCCATCTAACATCAAGGAGTGATTTTGCATACTCTTCAGATTGACGCCAGTGAAAAGGGCTAAGGTTTGAATATGGAAAAACGTCTTGTAAAACGCTGACGATAAACGCAAGCGAAAAGCATCCCGGTGTGTAGGACAGCCTAAGCCTTAGTGTACTGTTCAAATTGACTAACCTTTCGGTTTGTTGGTAGCTGGTTTTGCCTCATTGACGTCCATTATAGTCACATTGTTGTTTATTCAATTCACCTACAGCGCATGTGTTTGGACTGTGGGGTAAACCGGAGCACCCTGAGGAAACCCACACCAACACTGGGAGAACATGCAAACTCCACACAGAAATGCCAACTGGCCTAGCCGGGACTCAAGCCAGCACCTTCTTGATGTGAGGCGACAGTGCTAACCACTGAGCCACCGTGTCGCTCGACATTTTTCAAAATATCTTATTTTAACTTAACAGGTTTGGAACTAGAATAGGGCGAGTAAGTAGCCTCTTTCACACAGTGATACCGGTAAATATCCGAAACGACTTTACCGGTAAATATAAAAAAGCGCTGTTCACACCTTACGGAATTTTTCCGGAAAAGACCATTCACACATCCATTCCAAAATAATGGTAATGGATTTCCGGAGGGAGAAGAGTGAACACACCCCAAACACCATCAACGGGACGCCAGTGGAGAGAGTCAGCACTTTTAAGTTTCTTGGAGTCCACATTGCTGAGGATTTGACATGGACTGCCCACACAGACGCAGTGCTGAGGAAGGCACAACAACGCCTCTTCTTCCTCAGGCGTCTCAGGAGGTTTGGAATGAGCCCCCACATCCTCCGCTCGTTCTACTCCTGCACTGTGGAGAGCATCCTGACTGGCTGTATCACCACCTGGTATGGAAATAGCACCAGCAGCAATCGCAAACAGCGCAGCATTCCGGCAAATTACCGGTAATGTTACAACTTCTCTTTCGGGAAAATAGCCAGAACGAATTTACCGGTATTTTCAAAAAGGGCCTGTTCACACATACAGACCTTTCCGGGAAATTGTCGGTAATTTTCCGGAAAGGTCTGTAAGTGTGAAAGAGGCTATTGACAGGATTTTAAATTTTTGGTGAAGTGACCCTTTAAAGGGTCACGAAACACAAAAACTAATTTTTTGAGCTGTTGACAGTCGTATATGTGTCCCACACTGCTAAAAACATTAATAGGACACATATATCTCACTAAAAAGTGCAAATTTGTTGTTTTTGCGTTATTTCGAGCAAATTTGTACTTCTGGTTTGAAACGAATTTTTGAAGCTGCGTCAACGCCATGAGATCTTAGCGTGTATTCCAGCGTGTAGACTGGACGTCTGTATCTAGGTGTCCCGTATTACGTCTCTGAGTGTGTTGCATTCATTCATGAGTAAGGCTTGGTTCAAACCAATCAGCGCGCTCCATTATGTATGCGCTGCAACTTCATTAATATGCATGCTAGCTTTCTTATGCTGCGTTCACACCAGACGCGGAACGCGCGTCAAGCGCGAGTGATTTACATGTTAAGTCAATGCAAACTCGCAAATAGACATTCTGCGGCATGATACGCGCGAATGGCGTGGCGCGAATGACGCGTATTGCGCGAATGGCGCGGGGCAAATTGAGCGTTTTGCGCATTTGACGCGCTTAACGAGCGTTTCGCGCAAATCTCTCGAGTTCTAAAATCTGAACTTCAGCGGACATTCGCGCCATGTTAACCAATCAGAAGCTTGCTCTTGTGGGGGCCTGATTGTGACGTAGAACGGCTGTTTTCACACCAGACGCGGAACTAGCGGATAAATCGCGATATTCGCGCGTAAATAGCTGTGTGAACATTTGAGGTTACTCGCTTCATTCGCGCGTCAATTGCGCTTCATTCGCATGTCAAATTAACTTCAGAACAGATGCGGATTCACGTGATGGGCAGGGCTTCTGTCTGCCTGGTGACTGTAGCTTCGTTGTTAAATGGCTAAAATGGATTTTATGAAGAAAATAACAGTGTTTATGTACTTTATGAAGGCTGAAAAATAGTGTCGATATGTTTAGCCAGTATGAGTCCACTGCATGCTTTCAGAGGTGCATCCAGCTCTGTGAGCTCATAAACTCCTCCAGAAACTGAACCTGGATCACGGAGCCTTTCAGCGGTGCCTCTGACTGAGCCAAGCCCAGTTTGATGACTTGTTGTCGTTGTCGCCTGGAGGATTTCCCCTGGGACACCATCAACAGGTTCTACATCACAATCATGGCCACACAAGAGCAAGCTTCTGATTGGTCAACGCGGCGCGAATGTCCGCTGAAGTTCAGATTTTCGAACTCGAGAGATTCGCGCAAAATGCTCGTTAAGTGCAACAAACGTGCAAAACGCTCAATTCGCCATTCGCGCGTATCGCGCCGCAGGATGTCTATTCACGCGTTTGCATTGACTTAACATGTGAATCACTCACGCTTGACGTGCGTTCCGCGTCTGGTGTGAATGCAGCATTAGACTGTACCTGAAACTGTTCAGACGGCAGAGATACGACACACGTCGTGTTGCCAAAAGTTGTGGGAAAAGAATAAGAATTGTTTGGAGATACGGGTCGCCAGTGTTGCTTTCATAATGTGAAGGTGTTGTTTCATTTTCTCTCTATGAGAGCGCTGTTGAACTCACGTGTGGATCAGTGTACGTGAAAACATCCTGCTGAAACGGGGGGTTTCATGGCCCTTTAACTTACTCCTGGGGACTATTTGGAAACCGACACTCCTCGAGTTAGCATCTTTATGTTTACTCAAACTAGATCACATGGTTTAGCAGATGCATTCTGGAACTCACCCCTGAACATAAATTATGGAGATCTGCTGTACCTGAACATGGCTGGCAGAGTGTGTTGATGTCCAGATGTGTGGTCTGGTTGCTGATGGTGTTGTTGATCACACAGCTGTAGGTGTTTTTCTCCTGATATTCCACCTCCAGAGGTAGAGAGAGACTGATGCTGAGATCAGACACACTGATGCTGGACAATACACTGTTTCCTTTGTACCAGGAGAGACTCACAGCACTCGCATTCACCACTGAACACACCAGTAAACAACTGTGATGCGATAAAAAACATTGCGAAGAGTAACTGGTAAGGACAGGAACAGGCAGATAAGCTGAAAACAAAGGAAAAAATTGAATAAATCCATACTCAATTCAGTCAAATCAGGCCAAACACACTTAAATAGCAGCTCACCATAAACAATAATGCTGAACTTCATGGATGGGATGTCTTTTTTGCCAATGAGCTCCAGTTTGTAAAGTCCGGAGTCTGTTGTTTTGGTGTTTGTGATGGTCAGAGATCCAGTTTTACTGTCCAGCGTCAGTCTGTCTCTGAATTTCCCATCAAGAATCTCTTTATATAGTGAGATTTTATGATCCATTCTGTTGAACTGAGCTATTCGGGTGCCGTCAGGTCCAAACGTCCACAATATCAGATCAGCTTTCTGAATTTCTGTAGGATCAGCGTATAAAGTGACAGAATCTCCCTCCATTACTGACACAGACTGACTTTTATGCATCACACCAAGAGCACCTGCAGGTCAGAGACGTTTTAGAAAATAAGGTTGAACAAATTTTTTGGTACTTTCAAATATCACCATTGTTTGGCCAAATTCAATTGCTGCCATCTTTTCTATTCTGCTTAATTTTATGTAAAGTTGGTGTGTCCATATTCGGTTGCCATATATGTTTTGTTCTGTGGTCTGTTGCTTCACAAGGTAAATTTTTTTTCTGTGAACATTTCATACTACAAAAAAGTAAACATGTTTTTCTGTCCATTTGTTCTCCAAATCCAATATACAGTCCAATATAATATATACAAATTCTATATATATATATATATATATATATATATATATATATATATATATATATATATATATATATATATATAAATTAGTCAAATATTATTTACTGTTATTAGAAATTAATTATTAAAACTATTATGTTCAGAAATGTTGATAAAAATCTTTCCGTTAAACTGAAATTGGGGGGAAAAAATAAACAGGGGGGCTAATAATTCTGAATTCAACTGTATGCACTACAGGTCAAAAGCCTGGGGTCAGTTTTTTTTTATTTTTTACATTTTTTTAATAAAATTATTTTGTTCCTGGGCGAGGCAGTGGCGCAGTAGGTGCTCCGATTTCCCCCACAGTCCAAAGACATGCGGTACAGGTGAATTGGATAGGCTAAATTGTCCGTAGTGTATGTATGTGTGTGTGTGTGTGTGTGGATGTTTCCCAGAGATGAGGTTGTGGGCATCCGCTGCGTACAAACTTGCTGGATAAGTTGGTGGTTCATTCCGCTGTGGCGACCCTGGATAAATAAAGGGACTAAGCTGACAAGAAAATGAATAAATGAATGAATGAATTCTGTTCCTCAAGGCAGCATTTATTAAATGTAAAAAAAATTTAAATAACTGCTTTCTTATTATATTTAGTTTCAAATGACATTATAAATCCAGTCATTGTTGATTTTATTACTATTACCATTAATAATAACAATAATAATAATAATAATAATTAATATTGGAGTAATTTCTGAAGGGCCATGTGACTCTGAAGTTAATAAGCGGGCTTTAAAATCACTGGAATACATTAAATTTAATTGTAAACTACTACAGTGCAATAACATTTCAATTTTACAATTTGTAGGCCTACTGTGTTTTTGATGAGTTAAGTGCAGCCTTGGTGAGCAGGAGAAGCTTTATTTAAAACATTTAAAAATCCTCTTAACCCTGAACTTTCGACCTGTGTAGCTATATAAATTGCCGTAAAGTGCCGGATAAACCCGTTTTGTCATTTTGAGAAGACTGCCTTTAAAACATGCACTGTTATTGAAATGTCAGCATACATAAAACACTGTTAAATGCATATGTTGGATGTTTTCTTTTCAATAGACAACAAAAAAGCCTAAAATGTCATGGTTCATGAACAATGTATTTTCTTCGAGTTTCGCCCAAACTCCACAAAACCCGTAAATGTTAATTAGCATTGTTGTAAATCATTTTTGGAGATTTCAGACGAGTTTGTAAAGTGAAAATAAAACCGAAAGCCGTTTAATACTCACCATTTACGAGTAACGAAAAGTAAAAGAGAAACATCCGCATATTTCTGCAGGATAAATAGGAGAGGTCAAGATTGTCCTTCAAGTTACGATGCTCTAAAACTGTTCGATGATGTACAGTGCGTTGCTTAAAACTGCTTTTTGAACGTGCTAAGCTAATATTATTGACACAGTTTCACTTTGGTAGTTTGTCTGAGTTAGTTACATTTGAAACTGACTTAAAATCACTCCGTAGCGTTTCTGTTCCTAATTTTGCTTATAGTGAATAGGGAAGTAAGGAATTTCCTATCATGGAAGAACATTACCGCTCTGGAGCCTCAGAAAATCCCTCACCGGATAGAAGCTCTTAAGTGTTTGTTTGCGCTCGCACACACACCCCGCAAAGGGTCATTTGAGGTGTTTATAAGCACGTGACAAAATCAATATCACAAGACAAGATTTTATTAATATTTAAAAGTCATAAAAAGTTCATATTTTGTTCAAAACGCTGATTAAATTGAACTTTCAGACGAACAGCCTCCCATTCGCGTTATATTAGAAAGTGCACAATCTGTATATTTCCCACTAGAGGGCAGACATCGCTCAAACTTTTCTTAGAAAGTGTTAGACCAACAAATATATGGGAAAGACTGGACAGATATGTGTGTCACACATGCAAATACTACAAACTGGAGAGCTTGGAGAGAGTTTGGATGGAAAAGTCTGATGAGGCTCTTTATAACTCCTAAACTCTGCATTGCGTACGGGCATTGAAAGTTTGGGCTCTTGTTGAAGACAATGTGGAACCTCGATGGCGAACCATGTTCACATTTTTTGGGCTTTCCCAAAAATACAGCCCTGCTGGCATGAAGTAGCGACTGAAATAAAAAAAGATGATTGGAGAAGAATTGGATTACTCATTTATGCCATTATACTTTGGGAAAATACTAGAAACTGGTTCAACTAAATGACAAATAATTTTGGTAAGTAGCAGAAAAACCATACAGTTTAAAACAGAAGTTTACATACACTGTATAAACAGGCACAACCATTTAAAAAAAGTCAGATGTTAATGTGACTAAACTTTCTCTCTTTTAGGTAAGTCAGGATTTTCACATTTGTTTCTGTACTGCTTAATAGCAGAATAATGAGAGAGATTTTTGAGAAATTGTTATAACTTTTCTTGAAAGTCAAGTTTACATACAATAAGATTGAAAAAAAGCTCAGATGATGGTTTCAAGGTTTTGGAAGCTTCTGATTGGCAAATTGACAACATTTGAGTTCATTGGAGGCACGACTGTAGAATAGTATTTAAGCAAAACCTCAAACACACTGCTTCCTTGTGTGACAACATGGAAAAATCAACAAGCCAGAATCAACAACAAAGCCAGATTACAATTTGCTGAATTACACAGGGAAAAAGAATAATTGTTGGAGACATGTCCTGTGCTCTGATGGAGCTAGGATTGAACTGTTTGGCCATAATGACCAGTGTTACATTTGAAGGACAAAGGGTAAAGCTTACAAGCCTAGGAACACCATCCCAACTGTGAAGTATGGGGGCGACAGCATCATGTTGTGGGGCTGTTTTGCTGCAGGAGGGACTGGTCCACTTCACAGCATAGATGGCATCATGAAGAAAGAACATTATGTAGAAATACTGAAGCAACATCTCGAGACATCAGCCAGGAAATTAAAACTTGGCCACAAATAGGTCTTCCAAACAGACCATGACCCTAAGCGTACTGCCAAATTAGTTAAAATGTGCTTTAAGGACAACAAAGTGAATGTTTTGGAGTGGCCATCACAAAGCCCTGATCTCAATCCTATAGAAAATTTGTGGGCAGAGTTGAAAAAGCTTGTGCGAGCAAGACAGCCAACAAATCTGACTCAGTTACACCAATTCTATCAGGAGGAATGGGCCAAAATTCCTTCAAACTATTGTGAGAAGCTTGTGAAAGGAGACCCAAAACATTTGACCAAGTTATACAGTTTTAAAGCAAAGCTAAAAAAAAAGACCAAGGAAATGTGTGTAAACTTTTCACTGTCTAGACATTTATTTAAAAACTCTCAAAGAAAAAATTATTTCATTATTCTGGCATTTAGCAAATGTAAATCATTTAGGTAATTCTAACAGACCTAAAATAGTAAACGTTTAGTATGATTTACCATCAGACATTTTTAAAAAATGGTTATGTTCCTTTTTTTAGAGTGTATGTAAACTTCTGATTTCAACTGTAACTCGAAAATGGTTTCAGTTTGATCCTCCAACATGGGCTCAATGGATAGTAATTGTAAAGGAAATACACTGTATGGAAAAACTGACTTTTAACCTGAACCTGATTCAAAAAAGTGCAAGTATGGCCAAAAATAGACTGAGTATGTCATTGTAAACAATGTGATTCAAATGTATTGTAAATTGATTTTGCAAACCCATGTGACAACCACTTTGTTCTTTTCTTCCTCTTAAATTATTAAAACTGATATTATATGTAATTTAACAAACATAAACAACGTCGTTTATGTGAATATCAGCATAACAGACAATATAGAGGTTTGTTGAAACAGGTTGTGTCAACATTAAAGCAAAAACCTAACCTAAATTTGGTGTCAAAGAAACCATTAGTCAAATATATTTTTATTAAAGGTTACACATGCAACAACGATTTCAAACATCACCAATTCGCTCATTAACACTGAAAAAACACACTCACAAAAACATACTATAATATGTAACGGTTATAAATATCTAAATTGCAGCTAAAACATGTTCGGTAGAAACACAAAAATATTTGCGAATAAGCTTTTGTATTATTGTACATACTCATGTATGTCTTCTGTCTGCTCCTTAACATTTAAAAGAGACTAATCTGTGTGACCTTTTATATTTCAATTTCTTGGTTTGAATCCCAGGCGGCGTAGTCGGTTTCATCAAATCAAATAGATTGGGGTCGTTCGAAGAGAGCAAACCTTAACACCTAGCAATTTAGCTCCTCCCCCGCTTCGTCTGCTCCGCCACATTCTGGCGTAGTCGGCAGGGTTGGTGGCTGTTTAAAGGGAGTTAAATTAGCTGCTTCCCCCCGCCCTCCTGAGTTTGTCCGCTCCGCCACATGTACACCAGTGTCTGAGATCAATTCAGTCGTCAACAGTGATTCTGTCTCTGATGCCTCTTCTTTTTCTGATGAATCTGTGAGAGAACAGAAAGAAATGTAAGAGCTTGTGCTACATATAGTTAGCAGCTGCCGAAATTATTGTGAAGTAAAAGATAGCACATAAAGATAGCTCTGGAATAGCCTTCCTGATAACGTCCGAGGCTCAGACACACTCTCCCAGTTCAAAACTAGATTAAAGACCTATCTGTTTAGTAAAGCATACACTCAATGCATCACCTAGCGGATTCCACACAGGCTTCTGCATCTTGCTTATGTACACTATGAACAGCAGCTACGCTAATTATTCTCTTTATTCTCTATTTTCACCTGGGGATACTCATCCCGAGGTCCTCAGATTATGCGGAGTCACTGATTGGATCCAAGACCAGCGACGAGATGATCCCAAGGTTTCCGGGACCAGAGCTGCTGCTGCGCTGATGGTCATGGGGAGTGGAGAACAAGTGTCTGATTCCAGCGACGCTCCAGAGACAGACGAGTCTTTGCTGAGGCCATCTTCCAGCCTCCACCGCGGTGACTGAAGCCCTGCACAAGACTTTTGGCCAGCGGAGAAATTAAAATGGTCGTGCCCAACTGAGTCTGGTTCTCTCAAGGTTTTTTTTCTTCACTCCCATCAGGTGAAGTTTTTTTTCCCTCTCTGCTGTCGCCACTGGCTCGCATGGTTCAGGATTGGGAGAGCTACGCATCGATGAATTTGCTCTTCAGTGTTTGAACTCTCAGTAATGATTAAATCACACTGAACTGAGCTAAACTGAACTGAACTGAACTTAAACACTAAAACCTGAACTACACTGTTCCAGTTACTATGACCATTTATGTGAAGCTGCTTTGACACAATCTACATTGTAAAAGCGCTATACAAATAAAGCTGAATTGAATTGAATTGAATAAAAGGTTTTTTTAAACATTTGTGTATATGTTAATTTTTATCGTATAATAATCGGATCCTTTAGCTGCATCTCAATGCAGTCTTCCAAACTTGATTATTAGATGGTTACTTTTTAAGCTTTATCTTAAATGTGCTGACGGACAATTAATTAGTCAGTTTAGAGTATTGAAGAACTCACCTTTGACAATAAATGTCTTGGAGATCACATTTCTCCGATTCCTGGCGATATTTAGTTTATATATTCCAAAGTCTGTGGGTCTGATATCGCTGATTGTTAAATATCCATTTTGTTTATCCAGCTGTAATCGGTCCTTGAATGGCTCATTATGTCCAGAAGCACCATCAACACTGTTTGATCCTTTCAGTCTGTTTATAACAATAAATGGGTTTGTGACGTCTGAATTTAGCTCTCCAAACCTCCACTGCAGCACATCAAAACGTTTTATTTTGGTGATGCCGGTGTTTAGAGTGACGGACTCTCCCACACTCACTGACACTGTCTTCAGTTCATCCATCTCAGCAGTATCATCACCTGGAGAACACATGGAGATATAAACTGTATTATTCAATCCTGATGACTAGGGCTGAAGAAAAATGCTATATAGCATGCTAAATGATGCAATATATCATATGTGGTACAAATGTTACAGGCTAACCAACATACAGTTGAAACCAGACATTTGCATACACTCTAATGAAAGGAACATAACCATTTTTTTAAATGTCTGATGGTAAATAATATTAAATGTTTACTATTTTAGGTCTGTTAGGATTACCTAAATGATTAACATTTGCTAAATGCCAGAATAATGAGATACATTTTTTTTTTAGAATGTTTTACTAATTTCTAGACAGTGAAAAGTTTACACAGATTTCCTGGGTCTTTTTTTAGCTTTGCTTTAAAACTGTATAACTTTAGTCAAATGTTTTGGAGATCCTTCCACAAGCTTCTCACAATAGTTTGCAGGGATTTTGGCCCATTCCTCCTGACAGAATTGGTGTAACTGAGTCAAATTTGTTGGCTGTCTTGCTTGCACAAGCTTTTTCAACTCTGCACACAAATTTTCTATAGGATTGAGATCAGGGCTTTGTGATGGCCACTCCAAAACATTCATTCTGTTGTCCTTAAAGCACATTTTAACTAATTTGGCAGTATGCTTAGGGTCATGTTCTGTTTGGAAGTCCCATTTGTGGCCAAGTTTTAATTTCCTGGCTGATGTCTTGAGATGTTGCTTCAGTATTTCTACATGATGTTCTTTCTTCATAATGCCATCTATGCTGTGAAGTGGACCAGTCCCTCCTGCAGCTAAACAGCCCCACAACATGATGCTGTCACCCCCATACTTCACAGTTGGCATGGTGTTACTAGGCTTGTAAGCTTTCCCCTTTGTCCTCCAAATGTAACACTGGTCATTATGGCCAAACAGTTCAATCTTAGCTCCATCAGACCACAGGACATGTCTCCAACAATTATTCTTTTTCCCAGTGTAATTCAGCAAATTGTAATCTGGCTTTGTTGTTGATTCTGGTTTGTTGATTTTCCCATGTTGTCACACAAGGAAGCAGTGTGTTAGAGTCTTTCCTTAAATACTATTCTACAGTTGTGCCTCCAATGAACTCAAATGTTGTCAAGTAGCCAATCAGAAACTTCCAAAACCTTGACATCATCATCTGAGCTTTTTCAGAGGCAGAATAATCTTATTGGATGTAAACTTGACTTTCAAGAAAAGTTAAAACAATTTCTCAAAAAATCTTTCTTTCATTATTCTGCTATTAAGCATAACAAAGACTAATGGGATAAGCCTGACTTACCTAAAAGACAAAAAGTTTAGTCACATTAACATCTGACTTTTTAAAATGATTATGTGCCTTTTTATACTGTGTATGTAAACTTCTGGTTTCAACTGAATGTTTCATATTATTTCAGTAAAAAGCAAACGTCACTTCAACCTCCGATTATGAACAGAGATTTTTTTTTTTTACTGTTAAATAAAACTAATAAGTAGTTTTAGCAATGTAAACAAACACAAGTACATAAAATAAATATCATTACCACTTTACTCCACTGAAACACTGGGGGAAGTAAGTTGAATACGTCACCATTTTTCTCAGATAACATTTCTAAAGGTGCTGTTGACTTAAGGCTGATTTATACTTCTGCGTCAAGTGCACGCTTATGCTCCGGCACAGCCTTCGCGCGGTTGCATAGCTCTCGCTGTGGCTGACTCCGACGCGCACCACTCAAAAATTGTAACTACACGTCGCAATGACAATGTAGCCCAAGCTTTGTGATTGGTCGGCTTGGTAGAGGTGATGAGTGTGGGTGGGGGTGAGAGCCACACAAACCTGTTAGAGCCAGTGTTTACAAGTGCCGAGTCCCACGAAGGAGCTCTAGATGAAAACTATTTTGTGTTCACCTTATGATTAAAGTTGCTGCACATCTGTTGGATCCTGTCTCTAAATGAGCGAGTTTTAGCTACTTGTACATTCAGGAAGCATTCAGAAAAAACAAAACACCTATGAAGAAACTCGACACAGAGGAACATAAACATCTACTGCCAACTAGCGTTTTAGAAGTGTTATTGCAGAGCAACACGAACAGCACACTGAAGTATAAATGCACGACTACGAGCAAGATGGGCACCGTGGGTCACGCCGATCACTACACGCAGAAGTATAAACAAACCTTTAATTTTCACTGGCTGTTGGTAACCAAAAAAATCCATATATGCAAAGAAATCAAATCTAATTAGTTTACAAAAAAAGTTATGTGTAGGCCCACACGGAATCTGCGCACGCAGACATCCACATATTTCCGCAGATTTTTTTGCCCATCTATTTATTGTGTAAGTGTTTGTAAGTTTATACTTATTCAGTTTTTAAGTTAATTTAAGTAATATGATTGACTAATATGAAAATATTCATTTAATTTATTCACAATACAGTTTGTAAAGTAATACTTTCTGTCTTTTGGTGGATATATTATATGATAGACTTGCTTTGTTTACCAAATAAGTGGATCTAGATGGATTTACATTGTAAAACATTAACTAAAAGTTAAAAAGGAATTCTTTTTTATTTCACATATTAAGTTTTTAGTTATGATACTCCCGAAATAATTTCGCATAAATCCACAGATTTTTACAAAATTCTCAGCAGAAAAAGCAAAAAATGTCTGCAGATTCTGTCTGGCCCTAGTTATGTGTAATAAAATGAAACAACACAGAATAAAGTATTGAACACATGAAGAAAGGAAGGTGTAGAACGGCAGTAAATGCCCAGACAGCAGCTGAAATATCGCCGTTCAGATATTTAGACAAGAAAAAGAGTTTCCACTCTGCTTTAGTCCCGTAGGATGATGATAACCATAACTCCCATGACTCGGTTTTGTTTGTTATCTACAATTGGCTTAGATTGTTGTGAATACCCGCCCTCTAGTGGCCCAAATTAAAATACTGAGCCTAAAGATAGATTCTCAATTATTTAAAACCTAATTGTTTTAACAGTTTTACTCAAAACTAGTTTTGCTACAATAAGTTTAGGAAATACACAAGATAATACTTGCCATCAAATTGTTCTTGTCTTTTTCTGCGTCTCCAGCAGAAGATCGCAACTGCAGCCAGAATCAGTGGAGTTACAACACCAAAGCAGATCAGCAGCACACGACTGACGGGTAAGTCGTCTTCTTTATTGAGATCTAATGAGTCAGTAATGATTACACAGTGAATCAGATGACGTTAACACAGAAATTAAAGATAGTTGTAAACGGATGTTATCAATTATTAATTACTTAATCGTTGCCTACTAATGTTGATAAACGTGTTGATGTTTATGGCATACCTGCGAACTGTTCTTATAGTATTTTATAAGCTTTCAGTAATGTTGAACACACAAATCATGTAATATTCCCAGGTAGCAAAGAATTCTGGCCCAGATTTGACAAAAAGCAGGCCTTTATCCAGCTCTGGCATACAACATGTGGGCCAAACATGGCCTGGGTTTGGCAGCAGTGGCACACAAGACTTGGACCAGATGTTAAAAATTGATATGCGGACTAAGTTTGGCCTATCTTGACCCCCCAATATATATATATTTAAATATTTTTTAAGTAAGGAAAACATTCTATCAATCAGGTCGCTTCGAGAAAAAGCATACCAATATCGTGCCTAAAGCGCAATGCTTCATGGCTTTATCAATTTCATTTAAGTCATGACACACCAACATATCTGGCCCAGTTATGGGTTGTTAACTTGGCTGAGACTTAGCCCAGATATGGTCCATGCTTGGCCCCGTATCTAGAAGCCAGACGTGGTCCAGTCATGTACTATACTTTACTGTGACATGTGGCCAGGCAAAAGCTGATTGTGTGGGCCAGGGAAATTTTGCTGTGTGGGACACTTCATTTCAGCACTGTCCTACCATCAGATGTGTAACAGAGTGTGTTGATGTCCAGACGTGTGGTCTGGTTGCTGATGGTGTTGTTGATCACACATCTGTAGGTGTTTTTATCCTGATATTCCACCTCCAGAGGTAGAGAGAGACTGATGCTGAGATCAGACACACTGATGCTGGACAATACACTGTTTCCTTTGTACCAGGAGAGACTCACAGCGCTCACATTCACCACTGAACACACCACTGAACAATACTGCTCTGATGGAGAGGAGGAGGAGGAAGAACAGTCCCTGATAAGGACAGGAACAGGCAGACGAGCTGAAATACACATTGATTAAAAACTTTAGTCAATTAAATTGGTTGGAATATTATTAAAAATTGCATGTTTACAGTTTTTCTCAATTACTTTGGTGCATTTCTCCCAACACTTGCACAACAGTTGATGCATTTCTCAAAACAATTAGTACAAACTGCAAATCCTAGTTGATAACCTGCAAAAGCGTGTCACATGCACAAAATGGAGAGCTCATTCCTCAAAAGCAAGTACTGATGTGAAAGTGTCAGTGTCATCAAAATTAAAAGTTCTGACACCATTGTTTATGAACAAGATAGTCAAATGTCTTTGTCATGTTTTCATTATGACAGTTTACTCTGTACATTTCCTCCAGTGAAAGAAAAGTCAGATTTTGGTGATACGTCCTGAAAATGCTCAAGACAGCACTGTATACTATTTGCACAGCCATTTGAAAACTACAGTAAAGTAAGACATCACTGCATTTAGTGAGGTGTCTGAGTACAAGACACTGAATATGTATGTTTCACACTTTTACTGCATTTGCTCTTATATATATAAATAGATAAGACAGACAGACGGATGAATGGATGGAAGATAGATAGATAGATAGATAGATAGATAGATAGATAGATAGATAGATAGATAGATAGATAGATGGATGGATGGATGGATGGATGGATGGATGGATGGATGGATGGATGGATGGATGGATGGATGGAGGGAGGGAGGGAGGGAGGGAGGGAGGGAGGGACGGACGGACGGACGGACAGAGATAGATAGATAGATAGATAGATAGATAGATAGATATAGATAGATAGAAAGATAGATAAAAAATAGATAGATAAAAACAGACAGACAGACAGAAAGACAGACAGACAGACAGACAGACAGACAGACAGACAGACAGACAGACAGACAGACAGACAGACAGACAGACAGACAGACAGACAGACAGACAGACAGATGGATGGATGGATGGAAAGATGGATAGATAGATAGACGGACGGACGGACGGACGGACGGACGGACGGACAGACAGACAGACAGACAGACAGACAGACAGACAGACAGACAGACAGACAGACAGACAGACAGACAGACAGACAGACAGACAGACAGACAGACAGACAGACAGACAGACAGACAGACAGACAGACAGACGGATGGATGGATGGATGGAAAGATGGATAGATAGATATACGGACGGACGGACGGACGGACGGACGGACGGACGGACGGACAGACAGACAGACAGACAGACAGACAGACAGACAGACAGACAGACAGACAGACAGACCGACAGACAGACCGACGGATGGATGGAAAGATGGATAGATAGATATACGGACGGACGGACGGACGGACGGACGGACAGACAGACAGACAGACAGACAGACAGACAGACAGACAGACAGATGGATGGATGGAAAGATGGATAGATAGATAGACGGACGGACGGACGGACGGACGGACAGACAGACAGACAGACAGACAGACAGACGGATGGATGGATGGAAAGATGGATAGATAGATATACGGACGGACGGACGGACGGACAGACAGACAGACAGACAGACAGACAGACAGACGGATGGATGGATGGAAAGATGGATAGATAGATATACGGACGGACGGACGGACGGACAGACAGATAGACAGACAGACAGACAGACAGACAGACAGACGGATGGATGGAAAGATGGATAGATAGACGGACGGACGGACGGACGGACAGACAGACAGACAGACAGACAGACAGACAGACAGACAGATAGATAGATAGAAAAAAGATAGATAAAAAATAGATAGACAGACAGACAGACAGACAGACGGATGAATGGATAGATAGATAGATAGATAGATAGATAGATAGATAGATAGATAGATAGATAGATAGATAGATAGATAGATAGATTGTGTTTGTAATAAACAACATTATAATGGCAGTAAAGCTGTTAAAATTATCTTAAATAAAGTCTTGTTTATACAGTATGTGCTTTTATTTTGCCCCCTTAGTCTCTGAAAATGGCCTTGTTCATATTTTTTCACGTTTTTCTTGTATTTTGAATTATACATTGCATTCTGTTGTTTTTGTTTAAAGAAACTAATTGACCAGATTAAATAAAACTCACAAATGGTTGTGAGTGGTTGCAAATCTGCAGTCGCTCACCAGAAACTGTAATATTGAATCTCTTGGAAAAGACCTCTTTTCCACCGATGATCTGCAGTTCGTAAAGTCCAGCGTGTTTAAATGTGATGTCCGTGATGGTCAGAGATCCATTCTGATGATCCAGCTTCAGTCTGTCTCTGAATGTCTCATCAAGAACATATAATGAGATGCTATCGATCAGTTTGTTGATTTCGGCTATACGATCAGTTCCAAATGTCCACAGGATCACCTCAACTTTCTTTATACTATTAAGACTACAGTGTAGAGTGACAGAATCGCCCTCTATTACTGATAGAACCTCCACTTCACCTGAATCAGCAAACACAGCTGTGTTCAGAAGGAAAAAATATCATTAGTGATTCTGCTTATAGCTCCTGCTTTTACTATTCAAGTCTTTAATCTTTACAAATATACAAAACTTGCAAGCAAAAAAAAAAGTTGATCAAAGTGAAAGAGAAAATGATTTAAAACACTCACCTTTCAAAAGCAAAACGTATAAAAATAAATCGGAGAACTTCATTTTTTATGTAAGAATAAAATGTGATTTACTTCGTCAACTGTGGCAAATATGCTAATTAGTTTCTTTGTTGATCTTAAATCGGCGCTATTTACAAAACTCGCATCGCTAACCCGACGTTACGATTACGGATTAAGAAAAGGTAGGCTACATAATTAATTAATGTATTAGTTGTTTAAATAATGGTTGAATTGTGTTCTTCTTCTTGAGAGCCATTTTCTTGATTGTTGTCTTATTCGGGACGGAAAGCTTATCCGCATTACACTGTTCGAGAAAAACCAGTCCAGTAAGTTCACCAACATAACTTTCAGCACACCTCACACAAACAAACCAATAAACAAATCATGTAAACTACAGCTGAGAAAACGAAAGAATCAGTGCTAACCTTTTTAGTTTGTTTGCGTTGTTTTTTTTTTATAAACTTTTATTTAGAAAAGAAGAAATGTACAATATAAATCATGAAGTGATCTGAAGATTTGAATACAAGAATATGCAATTACAAAGTTATAAGAACAATAAGTAAAAAAAAAAGTAATAGAAAGAAAAGAAAAAAAGAGAACAAAATGAAGAAAGGCAAAGTACAAAATTAAATTTTAAAAAAGAAATTCAGAAAGCATTAATTACTAACATACTGAGCATGATATTTTCATAAGTTTCTAATTGCAGAATTTTTTGTTGTTAGATAGATTTATGGCTTTGAGCAAGGAATCAATTTCAATTTAAAAATGGCTAAATGAGGGAGAGGATTTAAGTAATTTTTGTTTGTGGATAAAGAATTTTGCATACAATATGTAAAGGTTATATATTTTCTTCATTTTTATTCTTGGGACTAGAATAATAACAAATAATATCTCAGTTTAAAGATTTGTTTTGTTGATTGGGATTTATTCAAATAATTATATAGATCTGACCAAAACTTTTGTGAGATTTTACATGTAAAAAAACATGCGAGTCAAAGTTTCCTCATTTTCCTGACAAAAGGAACAAGTATCTGCAATATCAGTAAATTTTGAGATAAATGCATTGACCGGGCATATTTTGTGTGGAATTTTAAAATGGATTTCCTTTGCTATGTTTGGGATTAGTTTGTTTGCGTTGTCGCAGTTGTGTTTTCCGATATATGACAGTTTTGTTTTTGTAACTGATAAATACATTTTTGCACGGCGTTTCAAATATCATAATAAAAGAAACATCAATTTTTTTGTTTTATAACTCACTGCCCAGTAATGCAAATTTCCAGCAGTGTCAGACAATTGTTTTAAAATGGTATATTTACTGTAATTATGAGGTTGAAATTTAACTTTCAGATTAAAAAGCCTTCAATTGACATTAGTTCAGTAAAACAGCTTGACCTGTAGAATTTCTAAAAGGGCAGAAAACGTTCAGGCATCACTGAGTACTAACAACGATAAGTCTTTCATTCACAGTGAGTTAGAGTTAAACTGTAGATTCTCCACCAGAGGGCAGCAAACATTCAGGCATCGCTGAACAAATAAACTAAATAAATATTAAAACGGATCATAAAATGTAACACATGCAATAAAAATGTGCAAAACAATATTCAAGATTTATTGAAACGTTGAAATCAACATATAAAAAGAGTTACTGAAAAAATCATAGTTAGCATGCAACAAAAAAAAAAACAATATTAATTCCACTGAAAAACCTGTAACCTATAGTCTAACTTAAGATTTTTTGTTAAATAGTCGTTTTATTTATTCATTTTTGTATGCAAGATATGAACTACTTTTTATAAGTATATGTGCAACACAGAGTGAAACATTATTTCAACCATGTTTTGGCAATCTTTCTTCCTAAAAGTTATTTAAAACACTACATGTTTTCCCAACATGAGTTCTATACAAGTAACATCACTTATGTAAATTTAAAAGACACCAAAATTAGTATTATATAAATATATATTTACAATTATACATGAGAGCATGAAAATATGTGGATTTTCATGAGGTAGATCTAACAATCGTTCATTCATTTTCCTTCGGCGTAGTCCCTTTATTCATCAGGGGTCACCACCGTGGAATGAACCGCCAACTTATCCAGCATATGTTTTACACACTCATACACTACGGCAATTCACCTGTATTCATCTGTACCACGTGTTTGGTCTGTGGGGGAAACCGGAGCACCCTGAGGAAACCCACGCCAACAGGGGGAGAACATGCAAACTCAACATAGAGTTTGCTTATTGGCCTATCTGGGACTCGAACCAGCAACCTTCTTGCTGTAAGGTGACAGTGCTTACCACTGAGTCACCGTGTCGCGCTGATCTAACAATCCCTAAAACATTTTGTTTAGGTTAAGTTAATATTTTTAATCTTAGTTTATTTTATTAAAAGCAAGAAAAAATTAGAAGGTTTTCATATTTACATATTTATACACACATTTTAAGACTTGTAACACTTCGTCAATTGTTTGCTTTGTAATTGGGATTCTTTGATTGTTAAAATTAACAGTTTGTTTCTGTTAAAATTGGGATGATATTTCAGTGTTTATACACTGTATAGTCTCCGCTCTTTTTTCTCTGGAACCTGTAAGAAAGCAAGCAGAGAAGACACATAAGAAAAAGTGTTTAATAACTAAATTATTCATTCATGCATTCTCCTTCAGCTTAATCCCTTTATTAATTTGAAGTTGCCACAGTGGAATGAACCACCAACTTATCCAGCATATGTTTTACACAGCGGATGCCCTTCCAGCTGCAACCCAGTACTGGGAAACATTGTTTGTTTGTTAGACTTTATTAATCCCAAAAAGGAAATTCACGTCACAACAGAGCTCTCCATACTAAAAATTAAGGGTGTCACGATCCTCCAAATCCTCGATTCGATTACATTTTCGATTCTAAAGGCACGATTCGATTCGATTTTCGATTATGAATAATTAATTAATTAATGACCAATTAATTATTTGTAGCCTACCGTTTAAACTACCTGACCTGGATGGTCTTTGTTTTACCTATAAACAAATCATACAGTAAATGAATAAAGGCAAGATACACACATAATTACCCCCTGTTAATCACTTTTTCTGCGGGACTCGTGAATAGGCAGTGATCTGTGTCGCTATAATGGCGTCAGTAAAAAAAGACGCACAACCAACAGGAACCAGCCAACAGTATCTGAGGTGTTCGCTAAAATGACTAAGTACAAGTGAGTGAAAGATTGAAGCAGTCCTCTGACTGCCTGGAACTGCTGTCTCGAGCGCAAGGCTGTGTGTGCGTCTGTGTCTGTGTGGTCACGTGATGTGCATTTTCAGAGGTAGTGAGGAAGGAGGGCTGCTCAGAAATGCTACACGCCACTGTGGATGTCAAATCGTTGTCGTTCTAAAATGCCATTTAAAAACAAAGACAGTGTAAACAGGGCCTGAGTGTGTACTTTTCGGGAGCGGATTCGCAACGGGGGCGGGCGGAGGATCGCGATGCCGGTGTTGTCTATCGAACCGTACGTAATACGTACATAGCAGAGCTTGCAAAACTGTGTTTTTTTTGTCGACAACACGAACGTTGTCAACATAACTCACTGGAAATCCAAAATGCTTACACACCGGCGACTTCATTGAAAGAGGAGAGGGTTTAAGCTCTGTCGACGGGTCTCCTGCTTCTGCAGTTCAACAAGCACTTCAACAAGCCTGTTATTTTCCCGCTTGGCAAGCCAAGCTGACGTGACATGGGGGCGTGGCAGCATCGACGATTGTATTTTTTGATTCGATAATCGAAATTGAGCATAAATTTCGATCAATTTCGATTTAAAATCAAAATCGTGACACCCCTACTAAAAATAAATAAAATACGTTACATATGTATAAAACAATAATACAATTATAGTCATACTGCACACCTCAGTTTCAAACAACGAGTAAACACTTGTCCATGTCTAATAACTATTACAATTCAGCATAATTCTTCTACTATGACTTTGGTTATACAATCTGATCACTGTTGGTAAAAATGATTTCCTGTAATCTTTCTCTGTAACACCGGGGTTGAAATAATCTTGCACTAAAAGAGCTTGCACATGCTTGGACTGTATTTGGACACCCACACGCACTCATTCACACTCATACACTATGGACAATTTAGCTTACCCAATTCCCCTACTCCACATCTTCGGACTAGTGGGGGAAACCCACGCCAACATGAGGAGAACATGCAAACTCCACACAGAAATGCTAACCGACCAAGCCGGGGCTCGAACCAGCAACTTTCTTGCTGTGAGGCGATCGTGCTATTCACCGCGCCACCGTGACGCCCCAGTATTATCAGTTTTCAAACAAATAATATATTGAAAGACTCAATCTACTCACATTAAAAACGCTGAACGTATGAAAGTCCATCTGTCCTCGTCTGATCATCTGCAGTTTATAAAATCCATAGTGTTTGGCTGTCATTTTTGTGATGGTCAGAGATCCAGTCGTGTGGTCCAGTTTCAGAGTGTCTCTGAACTGCTTAACGGATTCATTTGAGTTCATTTTATTCAGAGTAGCTATGGTGACAAAGTTAGCACTACTGCATCCTTTGAAATTGGCAAAAGTCCACAATATCAGATCGATTTCCCTTATTTCAGTAGCATCGGCTTGTAGTGTTACAGTTTCTCCCTCCATTACTGGCATCAGCGTGATTTTATCTTCCTTCACAAACACACCTGGAGAACAAACAGAAACATTTTTCAGATGAAATATATATATATATATATATATAGTCTGCAATGTGCCTATAAGCTGTTTTGCAATAATTTTTGCTGCCCTAGGTATGATTTTATCTGGTGCCCATTGCCCAGGTAAATGGCTTCCAACTGCTCCGAACGGTGTGTGTGTGTGTGTGTGTGTGTGTGTGTGTGTGTGTGTGTGTGTGTGTGTGTGTGTGTGTGTGTGTGTGTGTACACGCTCTTGGATGGGTTAAATGCAAAGCACAAATTCTGAGTATGGGTCACAATACTTGGCCACATGTAACGACTTTCACTTTTATACTTTCACTTTCACTTTTACTCTTATTACATTACTTTAAACTATTAGACTTGACTTTCACCTTTTTTATCACCTCTTTTACTTCGCATTACATAAAATTACATCCACCTTGGTGCTGTTTTTCTTCTACTTCTTAGTTTTCTTTCTTTTTCTTCCTTGGCCACCAGGGGGCTTTTTGATACGGATATAATTTATATTGTATTGACTCATCCCTACATTTCTATCCCGACACAATTCTAATTCGACAGATCCTTGCTGGTAGTTTGAAAATACAAGTTAACTGTTCATCATGGGCCAAACTCACCCCAAAAAAATAGTTGACTATATTGGAAGCTATTAAACAAAACATAAATACATTGTATAACTTTTTTGTCACAAGTGTTTTCATGTCATGCTAACTAAATTTCATGACTTACTATTGCCCATATAAGCTTAAAGGCTGATTTATAATTCTGCGTCAAGTGATCGGCGTGACCCATGGTGCTTGCCTTGCACGTAGTCATGCATTTATGCTTCTACGGGCTTTTTGTGTTGCTCTGCACTTCCGAAACGCTAGCTGGCAGTAGGTTATTTTGCACCTCTGTATCGTGGTTCTTTATGCGTTTTTTGTTTTTTTAAACGCTACTTTATGTACTTCATGCCTGTATCCACTGAGTGGTACGGTACGGTTCGGTTCGGTACGCTTTTATGGCCGTTTCCATTGTCAAAGGGTACCTAAAAGCAAACCGTACCACTTTTTGGTCACCCTTTGCAAAGGGTACCAACTGGCCTAAAGGGTACCATAAGGCGGAGCTAGACATGCAGCTAAACGCTATCGTTTACAGAGGTACGTCACTCGCAGAAGCAGGAAAATGAAAACAAACAAACTGCCATTTTTAAAAACAGCCGGGACATTACACCGTAATACTATATACAAATAATAACAAGCTATGGTTGACCAGAGCTCAAACAACATTGTCTGGATGAACAGCTACAAAGCCATGAAGAACAAAATCTGCTGTGTCCTGTTGTTGTTTTTCGAGCGCGATCAGTTTCAGGTTCTCCAGAGAGCTTGTTGCGCGTCTATATTTGAAACAATGAACTTTTTGAGATCAAAATATTAACATGCGCATGATCATTGAAGCGCTCTGATATCCAAACTTGTCAGAAGTGACTCCCTGTCAAGAATGAAGCGTGAAAAAGCAAAGGAGAAACCGGGAAAAAAAGAAGCAAATGATGCTTCTGCCACCCAAAACATGAACAAACTGCCATGTTTAACTGTTATCATCACCATATGGACTTTTATGAAATCAGAATAGTTTGCTCTGACATTAGGCTTTATTTCGTGTTGTTTTTGAACCCAAATAAGGACTAAATGTCTGCTGTGTGTGGTTTTTCTGTAATTGGTAACATATCGGAGACTGTAAGGGTCTGTATGTGTTCATAAATGTTGTATTTATATATTTATTTTATATAATTACAGACATTACAGTAGACTATTTCACACTTTCATTGATCTGCAGTTATAATCAAGTCATGTTTATAGAAAGGTTAGTAATGAACATTTATACACAAGTATTTATGTGTATAAAGCATCTGTTTTGTGAAAAGTGCTTCTCATATGATATGTGAACGACCCTTGCGGCTTTACTGTGACATTTCCCCCAGCAAAAATTACGTCGTCTGAAACTTTCTGTCGTACACCACGCCCACCAAAAGGCAGTAAAAAAAAATAGCTTGATAAAGGTGACCCATACCGACCCGTACCGTACCTCAGGTATACAAGTAGCTCAAACTCACTCATTCAAAGGCAGGAACCAGCGGACATGCAACAACTATAATCATAAGGTAAACACAAAACAAAAGTTTCCATGTAGAGTTTCTTCACGGAGCTCCCCAATTGTAAACACTCACTCCAATGGGTTTGCGTGGCTCTCGGTCCCACCCACACTGGAGACAGCTACCAAGCCAACCAATCAAATAGCTTGCACTTGAGGCTGATTTATAACTTATTACTCCATTATTGGTACTAAACTCAACAGTTTTTCATCTTTAGCCAAAATCACTAAAAGCAAATTGAATATATTGGAAACAAACAAAACTCAAATACATTTAATAACTTTTTCTCATGAGGGATTTAAGGTCAGGCCTACCAAATTCCATGTGAATTAGTCAACATGATCCAACAAGTCTCTTCCTACGGCTGGGATTGCTCGTTGGTTGACAATAAACCTTAAAAACTGGGCAAATATCCACAAAGCAACGCCTTATTCTTCCCACATCTCCCACACGAAACAGGTTTAATTGCTTAATAATACCGAAGACACCAGTCTAATCTCTGTGTGATGATAACTCACTGCATAAAAATGTGTTGTAGTTGTCGGCCAGTTAGTGGTCAAACACCTACAGTACTTCCAGCCTTGCTTGACTTGTTTAAAACAGCTCACCATCACTCATTAGCTCTACTTTCAGTTTCACTTTCTCACATTGGCAATGGTTTCAGCTTCAATCTGACTCTCTCATAATCCTTTATTATCCAGGGGCTGTCAGACTTTTTGGGATCTATTTTAATGACCTAAGTGCATGGTGTAAAGCAGGGGGTCTGCACTTGTTTTCATTGCATAGAACGGTGTTTGATTAATATTTTTTTATTTTCCAGCCTGCGATGTGCACAACACATTCTTAAAGGGGTAACCCACAATAAAGTGGGATCTCATGTAGAAATATTTTGCATTCTTGCGACCCAATCTAAAGCACAGCTCACAGGATCCCATCTTTGCCATTTTAGGGGCAGGAAAATCAGTCTGTGTGCCAGGCGCATGATCTAACAGGATTGTCCTTATTCTCTTCATGAGTTATGGGTGTGTTTTGGGTGTAACATCTACAGAATGAGCCAGATTCACTAGTTCCCTGAGGTAAAAAATGTGTGGGATGAGGTAGCGGTTTGTATATTCATGTAGACAATAATGATCCTTTACATTTTAATCCTTACATTCTTCATATTTGAAGATGTTTGTGTGCTGCTGCGCATCCCTGTGTGTGTCATAAGCAACGTGTATATGCTATTGGGACCCGCCTATCACTAATGCGCTCTTGAAATAACAGCAACAACTAAAAAATGTGCCGTTGATTATATTGTTCGGCAGTGTGCTCAGTTGGTTCAAATTAGCAATGAGTCAATAAGACACACCTCCTTTTTCAGACAAGCACGCCTATGGGTGCACAGATGGGTACTTGTGCTTTATTTAATAACATTTTTGGGGGAGGTTATATCTTGATTATATATAGGACAGTATAGTTGAGGCAGGAAAGTGTGCCATGAAAATGATACCTGAAACTATTAAGTGCTGTTTATTCATAAACGAATTTCGAGAGGATCACGTGCTTATAATCAACACGGCTGGCTCCTTGTTAGCTCCGTAATCAGCCCTATTAGATGATTACGGAAGCATTATAAATAACCTGAGTTTTTCACTCCAGTTATCTTCGTCTTGAAGCTCCCCTCCTTTCCACCCCTACATCCTCCCACTTTTTTTCTGATCGGGCGACACGGTGGCCCAGTGGCTAGCACTGTTGCCACACAGCAAGAACACCGCCGGTCCATCCCATCGGGCCAGTTGGTGTTTCTGTGTGGAGTTTACATGTTCTCCCCGTGTTTGCGTGGGTTTTCCCCGGGTTCCCCAGTTTCCTCCCACCGTCCAAAAACATAAACCATAGTCAATAGACTAAAACAAATTATCACCCAATACAACCTTAGTTTACACTTCTCACGGTGACAAGCAGGGGAGTTCTCGAGACCTACCTGACCTCGAATTCCCCTCTCGCCCTTCTAACGGGAGGGAGCCCCGGGCTCGAGGATATTAAGAGCTCAGGGCTCTCTCCTGGGACAGCATGCCAAATACGCTTTATTGATTATCAGCTAAGTGTGAACTCTTGAAACGACAGCTAAAACTGATAAAAACACTGCACTGCACCGGATGTATGAAAGGGTTCATTACGTCTGGTTTTGCCTCTCACAGTTGTGCTGTAACTTACTTTTTTCTACATCATCCTCTTGACCAGACGTGCACCTGCCTGTTGAAAACAAACCCAAATATCAATCTGTATGATAATTTGCAAGAACAGACTGTATGTTCCTGAAACAAATATGCCACATACGGTAAAAATGACTAAAATTTTTAATAAAAAGTATCGGTATCGTATCGAATGAAAAAATTGTGGTATCGCCCATCCCTACGACGCAGTTTGCGAATGTTCGCTGGAGCGACGGATTTGGGAAACGGCAAATCAACAAACTGTTTGTAACGACGGAACTTGCAACATTAGTTGGCTAACGATGGTTTTGGGAAACCCTGAAAAGGAGTCCCACTCTGTCCCTGATGTTAGTGTATACTCCATCAGCTGTTTTCGTTTCTTTCAGCTTAGCATTTAATTAAACACTTAATAAACTATTATGGTTTAGAACAATGTTTTGTGGCAAGTAGCCGTCACTGTAAATAATACTAGGCTCCACGTTTAAGTGGATTGAACATAAAACAATCAAGTTGTCCCCAAAAAACCTCTAAGATTGTGTTATTTCAACTCATTTACTCATGACTTATGTATATTTAATATTTCAAGTTCAAAGAAAAATATGTCTGCACATTAAATGAATCATTCTCAAATAACTGCTATTTACGCTACAGTGTTTGTTTGAGTGGTTGATATGGATTTCCTTGCTTTCAGTCTCAGTCACACCCTCACCTGAGGACAGTGTGTAAACCGGCTCCTCCTGTTATCTCTCCAGCCTCACCTCTCAGTAAGGTTTGAAGTGATTCATAAACGTTAATCAAAGCTGTCCTAATACAAGGATGAGTGTTTATGTTTCTTATTGAAGTTGATAAAAGGCTTTTGATTTACTTTAAATGCTGACTACTGCATATTGTATAGCTAAATATTGGGCAACAGTCTGGAAAGGTTCTGACAATATCATGAACAATTCATCTTTTAGTAACAATAATAAAATATTCCTTAACATTGACAATATTTGCAAAACTCCAGCATAACATCCCTATTTCTGCATTGTGTTTCTGAAATTTCTTGATTTTGTGTAACATAAATACTACCCAGCAGACACACAATGTTATAAGACGAAGGGATGTTGATGTTTTGCTGATTTTAGATTGTGTTGGAAATTGACCAAAATCCAACGTCGATTCAATATCTTAAACCAACGTCAATGTCACCAACGTATTGATGTCAAATACTGACATTTATTCGTCAGGCTTGGCAACCGAAATCTAACGTCTGATAGACGTCATAATGGTAACGTCTCTAGCTTTTCTGAACTAATCGGCTTTATTACATTGCGAAAAAACACATACAATTGATTTTAATCATGTATACTGTAGTAAAACATTACACAATCTCTTACCGTCTGCCTCCACAAGTAGCAAAGGAACTGTGCCTGTTTCAACCAAAATCATACATTTAATTTAAAGCCCATTGTATGATCACAAGCAAGGTTTACTCTATAGTTATACAGAATAGCTTACCATTTTCTCTGTTCTTATTAGATGTTTTATTGCCTGCAGAAAACAAACACAGATAGACAACATCTTGTAAGTAGATTTACAGTTGAAGACAGAATTATTAGCCCCCCTTATTTTTTTTTTTCCTTTTTTAAATATTTCCCAAATTATTTTTAACAGAGCAAGGAAATTTTCACAGTATGTCTGATAATATTTTTTCTTCTAAGGGTATCCTTATTTGTTTCATTTCGGCTGGAATAAAAGCAGTTCTTAATTTTTTATTAACCATTTAAGGTTAAAATTATTAGCCCCTTTAAGCACATTTATTTTGATTGTTTACAGAACAAACCATCATTATACAATAACTTGCCTAATTACCCTAACCTGCCTAGTTAACTAACCTAGTTAAGCCTTTAAATGTCACTTAAAGTTGTATAGAAGTGTCTTAAAAAATATCTAGTCAAATATTATTTACTGTCAATATGGCAAAGATAAAATAAATCAGCTTTTAAAGCCGTTATGTTTAGAAATGTGTTGAAGAAATCTTCTCTCCTTTAAACAGAAATTGGGGAAGAAAACGAACAGGCGGGCTTATAATTCAGAGGGGCTAATAATTTTGACTTCAACTTTATAAACATTTAAAGACAAAATTATTAGCCCTTGTTATGATCCTTATTAAAATATGACTCGTAACTTTAAGAAAACGTAGCATTAATAAACAACGGCCTAAGTTCTCCAACTTAGTTCTTTATTAACATAAACCACATAGCAAAACAATCCAAAAAACAAGAGAAATTGTTCAACTTTTTCAAGTATTTACCAAATGATATTATTACCAGCGATATTATTAGCCTCTTAAGAATTTATTTTTTTCCTATTGGCAAAAGAACAAACCACTTTAAGATATAATGTGCTGTCATCATGATAGATGAAGGAAACTAGTTATTAAAACTATGACGTTTAAAAATGTGTCTCTTAAAAACTTCTCATTGAACAGTACTTTTGAAAAATAATAAAAATAACACAGGATAGCTAATAAGTTTGCCTTGAGCGGTACATATATGGGTATATATATATATATATATTATTCTCTAGCCTTTGTGATGAAGAGTATCAGTTAACATTACAGTCAGTAAGCACCAGTTAATTTGATCTCATTATTAGTTAGGACCATAATAAAACTCACTTGTGTGCAATAAAACTGAAACACACCTCGTTTAGAAATTCTGTGTTGATGGTAAAAGTAAAGTCCACACAAGACTGCAGGCACGATGCAAACACAAACCAATGCTGTATGATTTGGGGACCAACCTGGAGATAAAATGGAGAGTGAGAAACCATATCAGTGTGTTAATTAATATGACCAACATTGATTAACTGGCTAATGTCGGCACTTCTTTACCATTAAATGGCTGACAGAGTGTGTTGATGTCCAGATGTGTGGTCTGATTGCTGATGGTGTTGTTGATCACACAGCTGTAGGTGTTTTTATCCTGATATTCCACCTCCAGAGGTAGAGAGAGACTGATGCTGAGATCAGACACACTGATGCTGGACAATACACTGTTTCCTTTGTACCAGGAGAGACTCACAGCGCTCACATTCACCACTGAACACAGCACTGAACAATACTGCACTGATGAAGATGGGGATGAAGGGTCTCTTATAACAGCAGGAATTGACAGAGGAGCTGAAAAGTGTGCAAGAATATAGTTTATGAAAGGATGTATACTGCAATCTAATACTATCAAACTGAATGCATTCGCAAAGTCACTCACCAGAAACAATAATCTTGAATTTCTTGGGTGGGACCTCTTTTCCGCCAATGAGCTCGAGTTTGTAAAGTCCAGAGTCTGCGACTGTAGTGTTTCTCATAGTCAGAGATCCTGTTTTACTGTCCAGTTTCAGTCTGTCTCTGAATCTCCCATCAAGAATCTCTTCATATAGTGAGATTTTATTGGCCATTCTGTTGAACTGAACTATCCGGGTGCCGTCAGGTCCAAACGTCCACAATATCAGATCAGCTTTCTGAATTTCTATGGCATCGGCGTATAAAGTGACAGAATCTCCTTCTTTCACTGGCACTGATGTAATTACATCCATAAAACTAAACACACCTGCAGAACAGAGACGTTGTTGAGACTTCAATTGGACAAATACAGTTCATTCATTCATTTTCCTTTGGCTTAGTCCCTTTATTAATCTGGGGTAGCCACAGCTGAATGAACCCCCAACTTATTAAGCATATGTTTTACACAGCTAATGCCCTTTATAGCTGCAACCCAGTACTGGGAAACACCCATTTACAGTCATTCACACTCATACACTACGCCCATTTTGGTTTATTAAATTCACCTATAGCCCATGTGTTTGGACTGGGGGAGCACCCAGAGGAAACCCACGCCAACACGGGGAGAACATGCCGACTCCACACAGAAATGCCAACTGACCCAGCCGGGACTTAAACCAGCAACCAGGGGTGTAGATTTAGCATGGACAAAGGGGATGTGTCCCCATCAGTATCCACGACCCATTGAAATGTCCCCACCCATGATTTTATTGACTTAAAAAATTTTGCTGTCAATATTAACCTGTTAATAATTTTTTTTAACATTACACTACTTAACTGAATAAATAGTATGAAAAGAGGATTAATTTATAATATATTTTAAGAGCATTAATATTATATAAGCATGCTGGAGTTATATAATTAATAGTAGCATATTACAAAAAACAAAATGAAAATAATATTCATAAATTCTTGGGATTTGGGGGAGGGGCGGTGGTATTACCCTGTCCCCACCAATGTCAAGAGCAAACCTACGTCCTGCTGAAAGATCCAGCTTAAACCAGCCCAGGCTGGTGGGCTGGTTTTGGCTGGTTGACCAGCCTGGTTTTAGAGGGGTTTTGGCCATTTCCATTTCCAGGCTGGTTTCCAGCCATTTCCAGCCTGGTCTTAGCTGGTCAGGCTGGAAAATTACCAACCAAATCCAGCTAAAACCAGCTTGAACAGCCTGGTTTAAGCTGGATATAGCTGGTTTTGGCTGGACTCCCAGCTTGGCTAGGCTGGTCAAGCTGGTTTTTCTTGGTCATCTCCCAGCTTGACCAGCTAAGACCATGCTGGAAATGGCTGGAAACCAGCCTGGAAATGGCCAAAACCCCTCTGAAAGCAGCCTGGTCGACCAGCTAAAACCAGCTACAGCCTAGGCTGGTTTAAGCTGGATTTTTCAGCAGGGCCAGCAACCTTCTTACTTTGAGGCGACAGTGCTAACCACTGAGCCACCGTGTCGCCCTCAAATCTAGTTCACTTTTGTTCTTTTTACTTGCGTTTATCTTCTCTAATTACCCTTACAGTTGACCTTAAAGTGGGGAGTGAATATCTCTACTTTCAAATACAGGTTTGGAGTAAAATATTTCACTCTAATATTTTAATCCTGTTCAAGTCTTCACAAAATCAATTTTAAGTGCACATTTAAAAATAAAGGAGACTGAGAAAGAATTGAGTTCATAGGCAAAACACACATCAAATCGTCAAATAACAAGTAAAATCTACTCACCGTCCAGAAGTAGCGGAACGAAAAACAAAACAAACGGCATATTTCTCCTCAGATGAGTGAACACATTATGCCTTCCGTTGAATCTCAAAACGGTCGATCAGCTCGTCCCATCGTTAAAAGAGCTAAATACGGTTAATAACTGCCTAATTTTACTGTTACTGTGAATGTGTGATGTTTTCAGTTGTAAGCAAGCATTAATGAGGATAGGGCAATTCAGATCTGAAACAGATCAAAATAAAGAGTTCGACCGAATTTCCTAATCCTTCCAGAGAAAACGGCATCTCTGTCTGACTTTTTTCTGCAGGATAGTAAGGTGTTTCCTCAATACATAGGCTACCTGAGTTTTCTACGTCACCGTGACGACGTTCTGGAATCCCGCGCCAAAAAAAGAAAAGGAGATTCCCGCGCCAGTACAGAGATGGCGTAAACCACATCTACTATCTCACGCTGTGTAAACGGGGCACTGAAGAAAGTGAGAAAATGTAGATGCTACAAATAGGTAAACTCTAACTTTACAGTGTTTTTTCCACACGCAGCTCTATAAGATAATTTCTAAACTGAAAATAACTTACCCTGCTAAAAAAACTGTATAAGCCGGTAAGTGTATGTTTTATGCTACTTAGCTGGTTTATGCTAGTTTTTACTGATTCTGAGAATTTAATCGTGATAGTTTAGTTGTGTTTTGGCGTTGATCAACTGAAATTAAACATCCATTCAACGTGTCACGTAATGTCCTATATACATTGGAATAACATTGGCTTTAAAGCTAATTTACTTTGACAAATTAATAATTGTAAAAAAGGTTGTAGCTAACACTTATTTAAAGCAGACCTATTTGGACTAATCTTAAGCTTTGTCTACAAAGGACTTAAAGCAAGAGTTAGCCTACTAAACAGGCAAAGTCCACGAAATTTCAGAACTGTCATCATGCAGGTATGTGCCAAAAAATTGAATAGAGGAAAAGTTTATTTATTTCAATAATTAGTTTCAAAAAGTGAAACTTGTGTGTTATATTAGTTCACTACACACAAAGTGAAATATTTCAAGCCTTCTTTTGATTCAGTTTTAATGATCATGGAATAAAGACGTAAAAAACCCAAATCCAGTATTTCACAAAATTAGAATATAATGACAAAATTCAACACTGTAGGCTCCCTGTGTCTCAATCTAGTCCACTAATTACACAAAGCCTTGAAATTGTCTCAGTCTGGCATAATAGGCTTCACAATTATGGGAAAGACTGCTGACTTGACGGTTGTGCAGAAGACCATCATTTGGAACCCTCCATGAAGAGGAGTCTCAAGGCAATTGCTGGATGCTCACAGAGTGCTAAGAGGAAGTGAAAAATGTGGCTGGAAAGGTGCACAGTATTATCATAGCCTTGAGAGGATTGTCAAGCAAGGGCGACTAGGGCTGGTGTCAGAGCATCAGGAACCACCACATGCAGACGTCTGCATTAGGGATGGGAAGATTAATCGATATGTATCGATACGCGGTCATGCGCATGCACGATGCGAGTGCATCGGTTGAGCAGCAGAGGATGAATGAAATTATGGAAGCAAATCGAGATGCATCGGTTTTTGCGAGATGCATCGGTTTTTCCGAGATACAGCTTATTTTTTTAATATAGAATGTATTTTTTATTTATTAACAAGTGTTGTCAACCTGTTTTTGGCGCATAATTTAATCGACCTACATAAAGTAAGCCTTAGCAACGGATTTGCGGATGTGTACACTTACACTACAACTCAGTGTATCAGGTGTGCGGATGAAGCTAGTGGTGCGCCCTCAGAAAGCGCGAGAAGCAAAACAAACATTTTATTCCCCACTGAGTTTTAAATCTAAAGTTTTGTGCGCTCTATGCCAATAACGGATGTTATTGCATTGTTCATCTGCAGGGCCGGAGCAAGCTGAACTGCTGCTCTAGGCAGAGGACGATCACGCCGCCCTCAACCCCAATGTGAAAACGAAAGTGACCGGTTATGAAAATGAAGTGACGTGTCGCGGACCTCTATTCTGCCGCCTTATGCGCGGATATAACTGAGGACGCGCGGGTGTCGCGGACCTCTATTCTTCCGCCCTATGCGCGGATATAACTGAGGACGCGTGGGTGTCGCGGACCTCTATTCTTCCGCCCTATGTGCGGATATAACTGAGGACGCGTGGGTATAGCGGACCTCTATTCTGCCACCCTATGCGCGGATATAACTGGGTGTTGCGGACGCCGCCCTCTCTATACTGCCGCACTAGGCGGTTTTAAACACCTCCTCCTGTTAATTTTTATTTAATTATAATAATAATAATAATATTAATAATAATAATGATAAAAATAATGGGTGTCACGGTGGCACAGTGGGTAGTTTGACCACCTCACAGCAAGAAGATTGCTGGTTTGTTATATTTTTATTAGCCTGTTGTTTACAGTGACAGTGATGTTTCAAAGCAGCATAACACTGCTAGATCACGACCTTAAGTTTTGAATAATCAGTGGCAAAATATATCTTTGTAAAACTTGTTTTCATAGTTGAAAAGTTAAATCACAATTCTTGTTGTGCAATGCTCAACCTTTATGTTGAAAGAGTGCAAATATATATAATTTAATATATATTGCACTTATACATTCAGTTTATCTTGAAAATACTTAAATAATATGTGCTATAGGTTCTAAAATGGCCCTCTACTGTAAACTGACACTCTGGCTCTGAGAGAAAAGCCAGTTTGTAAAAAAAGTCTTGGTTTTGCTTGGTTTATAAATAATCAAACTCATTCAATGGCACAGCATCCTCTTTTACATCATCTCATAAACTTGATCTAATTAGTTAGTGCTGAAATATCGCATTGTATCGTGATATGGGTGTGAATCGTATCGTGTCGCATCGCAATATGTCACAAATGTATCGCTAATATATCGGATCGTATTCTTTGTATCGAGATGCGTATCGGATCGGCATTATAGCTTAGATGCCCAACCCTAGTCTGCATAACATGACCTAAAGCTGTAGATTTCCATGTGTCAAGCCAGTCCTGAACTAAAGCAAATCTAAAATAGTCAGCGTTTGGCTAAAGAGAAAAAGTACTGGTCTGTTGCGCAGTGGTCCCAAGTCCTCTTTAATTTAATCTAGAAATCAAAATCCCAGAGTCTGGAGGAAGAGAGGGGAGACACAAAGTGAAGCAGCTTAAAGTCCTTTGTGAAGTTTCCTAAGTCAGTGATGGTTAGGGGAGGCATGTCATATGCTAGTGTGGGTCCGTTGTCTTTTACCAAGTCTATAGTCATATACCAGGACGTTTCAGAGCACTTCCTGCTGTCGACAAGCTTTTTGGAGATGATGATTTTATTTTCCTGCAGGACTATGATACCTGCACAGTGCCAAAGCTACCAGTACCCAGTTTAAGGAACATGGTATCTCAATGGGCCAGGAAACTCACCTTGAAAATCTATGGGTTATTGTCAAGAGGAAGATGAGGGATCAGAGACCCTGAAATGCAGACAAGCTGAAGGCTGATATCAAAGCAACTTGGGCTACCATAACACCTCAACTGTGTCAAAGGCTGATTGCCGGCATGCCACAGCACCTTGATGCTGTAACTAGTGCAAAACGAGGCCCAAGAAATACTGAGGACATAATACAGTACATTAACACAAATTTCAGGAAGCCAACATGTGGATAAGATCCTTTTTTTAAATGGTCGCATGAAATGTTCAAATCTTTAATCTATAATCATTAAAACTGAAACAAATGAAGGCTTGAAATATTTCACTTTGTGTAGATGACCTTTAAATTGTTAAATCACGGACACTTCTGCCTCCATCCAGTAGAGGGTGCTGTTGTCTTAAATCAGACCGTAGTGTGCACATTGAAGAAGTTATAGGTGAAGTGTTTAGCGTTATAAAGGAAAGGACTTTGGAGTGCTCTCTGTTAAGATTATCATAAAGGCAGTCAAAAAGGTTTTTTCTGACTTTTAGCTCCTGGCTGATGAAGGGCACAAGGTATTGTTGATATGTTAATCAGAGAAATTTAAAAAGACTGTTTATTGTGAAAGTTTATAGTTGTTAACGGTCTTTTGGTTAGCATTTAATTGTTGTTAGCACATATAAAAGGATTTTGAGTTTCAGTGTTATCGATATTATTTGTTAGTTTTTTAGAAAAGGCATGTCATTTATTTTTTTATTATAATTTGCTCTACAAATGGGACATTAACAGCCATTAAGGTCTTTATTTTGGTCATTTTATGTGTTTTAGATTTATCTTTCTAAAAATAACATCACTAATTGAGCTAAAATTAATTAATCGTTAAAGCTGTTTATATTGGAGTCTAATTGTAATTTATAAGGTCATAAATGCTTTATCTGCATTAAATATTGCCATTGTTAGTTTTATAGCAATTCAAATTATTTAGACTTATCCCTGTAAAGTTAATTACATTTATATTTTATGCCTGTACAGTGAATTTGAGAAATGTGTATTGTAAATGTGTATTTATCAGTTTATTGGCTAGTTATGAGCATTTGTTTAACGTCATTTCAAGGATATGTGTAATGAATATTATTTGTTTCTTTGTTTCTTTTATTCAGCTCTTACGATGATTTATTTTGAAGATTAAAACACTTTATAAACATCAGTCCCTGAGAGTAAAGTGCATCTGTTCAGCTGGGAATGCTACACTTTGTGTGTAGTGAACTAATTTAACACACAGGTTTCTCTTTTTTAAAACAAATATTAAAATAAATTCAATATTCTACTGAATATACTTCAATATTTGTACATATTCTGACGTAAAACAAGCCAAAAGCTTTTAAACTGAAAGCAAGGTGATAGTATTAAATCAGCATCACACATACACGCATGTTGTCCACTTTTATTATTCAAATTAAGACTTGACAGTAGTTACAAAACAATGCAAAAATATTACTTGCTGCTTCTCAAAATACTGAATCTTACTGCAACAAAACATAACAATGTATTTGGTCACTAAATAAGTACAAGTGTGATTGAGTGTTTCTTTAAATGAGCTCATTTACAACAGCTAAAATACACGACCGGTCTTAAATTTGGTCTCTGATTGCAATTATGCAAATTTTGCAGGTCAATGACCAAAGTATAAGCATTAATAAATAAGAAAAAAAGGAAACAATCATAATAGTCTTATACAATATGATGCATAGTGTTGTATTCTTCCATAAAACCAATATTTTTGGCTATACTAAGCCTTAGAACATTTTGTAGTTATTTCTTACATTAAACTACTGTATTTTGCACAATGTTACTTTTGACCTACCGCTGGTCACTGACGCTTAAATTGTGTCACTTGCCATACCACTTTTCCTATGAATGCATTTAAAATAGGTTTCTTTTTCCCCTCCAAATGGTTCATTTATGTATTTGCATGTTTATTAAATTGAAGTTTTGTTATGACCAACTTCTTCCGGAGATTTGACCCTAATGAAAATTCAGATTTTTACCTGACCCAGAGATCTATAACCTATATGCTGTTAGAAATAAAGGTACAGGAGCTGTCACTGAGGTGTTACCTTTTTAAGAGTTAGACATTTGTATCTAAAGGGTACATATTAGTACCGAAAAAGTACAAATGTTTACCTTTTAAATTTTTTAGGTACTAATATATACCTTTAAGGCAGGGGTTCCCAAACTTTTCAGCCCGCGACCCCCAAAATGACAATGCCATTGACTCGCGACCCCCAATATCCTCTGAGATGGTTATAAATACAGAAACCTTGCATGCAATGGTGCACACACACACACCAATAGACCCAAGTGTATTTTTTGTTTAATTTCTTTAGTGTATGTGAGTGCTGTAAATGGGCCAGAAAGTTTAACCTGGTGTTATAAAATCAATCTGCTGCATCTGACGCTATTGATGTGTCTTAAATAATAATGTAATTACCCCAGGGGCCGCAATCCAATAGAACTAGTAACTATAAGCTACTATAATACCTATATAGTATATAGTAACAATAAATTAACTATAAATCACCAGGCGACCCCCCTATATTGTCCTGCGACGCCTCGGGGGGTCCTTACCCCCACTTTGAGAACCACTGCTTTAAGATACCAATATGGACTGTTTAAGTACAAATGTTTCCCTTTTGAAAAGGTACCTGCCCAGTGACAGCTCTTGTACCTTTAGAAGAGTGTATCACCTATAAATTTGAGCATTTTGTGCTGAATTTTGTTCTTTAGCTGGATAAATAATTTAAATATAAAAATTTGATATTTAAAAGTACTTTTTTTGTTTAATGAGTCTGAATGTGAACTAATTTAGATCAACATTTCATTATACACCAGTTTGAAATAGCTTAGATTGCCCACTAGAGGGCAGGAAATGTTCAGACATCAATGATCCGTTCATTAACGCTGAAATTTAAAACAATAATAAGTAACAGACACACAGTGTAATAAATACACATCTGAATAACAGACAAGATCATGGTTAGCTGAAAGATGTTCCATAAAAAACAAATGTTTTATAAGGATTAGTAACAGTTGCTATACACGACTGTCGGAGATCATTTCTGTCTTTAACAGCGATTCGGTCTCCGATGCCTCTCTGATGTCTTCAGATGAATCTGTAAGAAGTCAGAGAAAATGTAAGTGTTGGTGCTACATGTAGTTAGCATCTGTCAGATGCCGAAATCAAACACTAACAAAAAATATGACAGGAAAGGTCTTGTTCAAAGCATTTATTATATCTGTTTATTTCTATTACGTACAGTAATCTGACCTTTTCACACATTTCAATGCAGTCTTCTTAATTGGATTTTTTAAGCTTTATTGGAAATCGATTAGTTGATTTAGAGTCAGTTTATTCTATGAAAAGATGTGAGGAACTCACCTTTGACAATAAATGTCTTGGAGATCACATTTCTCCCATTCCTGGCAATATTTAGTTTATATATACCAAAGTCTGTGGGTCTGATATCACTGATTTTTAGATATCCGTTTTGTTGATCCAGCTGTAATCGGTCTCTGAATGTCTCGTCATGACCAGCATATTCAGTGAAGTCTGGTTCGTTCAGTCTTCTTATGACAACAAATGGGTTTGTGACGTCTGAATTTGGCTCTCCAAACCTCCACTGCAGCACATCACAACTTTTTATCTTGGTGAAACCAGTGTTTAGCATGACGGACCCTCCCACACTCACAGACATTGTCTTCAGTTCATCCATCTCAACCATATCATCACCTGGAGAACAGAGAAATCAGAGAACAGAATCAGAGAAATTAATCAACAGTGTACTATAAACCTTTTTTTTGTTTCATGTACAGATATCAGCATTTTGAAAATAATCTAATTTCACATTAGTAGTTCTTCCTTTCACATCCTAAGAAACAGTATTAAAAATTAATAATGATAGGATGCAGAAAAAAGGTATTATCTCACCTTCATGCACCTCAGAAACCTGTTGCACAGGAGTCTGGCCTGTTTAAACACAAACCACACACACACACACACACACACATATATATTTATATATATATATATATATATATATATATATATATATATATATATACATATATATTTATATATATATATAAATATATA